CCTCCCCCCACGAAGCCAGCAGGGTCCGTCCCCACGTGCTGCGAGCCCAGCAGGTCCCCCTCCTTCTCGAAGCTGGCATTGAGGTCAAAGGGCACGTCGGAGACGCTGAGCCGCATGTGCTTCTCTCCTGCGGAGCACAGACAGACCCTCATCACCTTCCTCCTGAGATCTGACCAGCCCGTTTCGTAGCCCGCAGCTAACTGATCAATTGATAGCTAATTGGTTAAAAAAAAAAGTTGATCACTCAGGATCTCCTGCTGTCTCTTGGAAGAATCCAAAGTATCGGCTTCAACACCATGACTGGGTAGCTTGTTCCACACACCCGCCACCCTTTGGTTAAGGAAGTACCTCCTCTTCTGGGTGTTAAATATGCTTTCACAAAAGGAAGAAGGGCATGCCCCTAATTCCCCAAAATGTATCTGGTTGCTCTTCTCTGGATAGATTCCAGAGCAGTGGTATATTTTCTGTAACGTGGAGACTACAACTGCACTCAGTACTCTAAAAGAGGGCTTACTAAAATATTTCAACGTGCCTCGCTTCAGTACCCCGTGTACTCCAGCATCGTGTGCCTCTTCCATTGTGCATTCTAGCTGCAGGACGCTGGGCTGCGGGTGGGTGCCGTGGTTAGCACTGCTGCCTTGCAGCTCTGGGGCCCTGGGTTCAATTCTGCGTGGAGTTTGTATGTGCCCTCTGTGTTCGTGTGGGTTTCCACACTGGAGCTTAAATGGAGGAGACAGCGGATGGAGGGAGGGAGAGGGCAGAAGAGAGGGAAAGCACATCTCACCCACAAATTTCTGTGGCGTCGACCTCTTGCGCTTGGCGATGCTGTTGGTCAGGCGGTCAATGAAGGTCAGCCGCTCGGTGGAGGGGTGCAGGAGAGAGTCCGGCATCAGCTCCAGGTCCCGCAACTCCTCCCCTGCACGGCGCAGACACACCGGTCAGTGCGCGCACGCTGGCAGCTGTGCACTCACAGGTCATAGTGCAGGGGGTGTGTTTTGTCAGTGTGTTACCCTGGCCGCTCTGTGAAGAGGGTGTGTTGTGTCAGTGTGTTACCCTGGCCGCTCTGTGCAGGGGGTGTGTTGTGTCAGTGTGTTACCCTGGCCGCTCTGTGCAGGGGGTGTGTTGTGTCAGTGTGTTACCCTGGCCGCTCTGTGAAGAGGGTGTGTTGTGTCAGTGTGTTACCCCGGCCGCTCTGTGCAGGGGGTGTGTTG